GGGAATGGGCTGGCAAGTTGAGACCCATGGGGAAGAAGGAACCATTACAAATAACAATGCTACCGAAAGTCCTGTGTTTCAGGCATGAGGTCCTGTCCTTTTAACAGATGGAGAAGAGAAATGGTAAACTGAAAATTTTCAGATTAGACAGACTTGGGTATCTGAGTAACCAAACCCTTATAAGGACTATGACACACAGAAAAGGGTGACAGTGATTTGCACAAAGATAAATGGTACTGAAGAAGTGCCACCTCCAGGGGGCTTAGACTAGGTATTCCCTGCTGGATACGGCTACCATTAGTTTGGTATTATTAGCTACTGAGCTAATGGAACTAATGGCAACTTTGATGTTGTGGAGTAATAGTTAAAGATATGTTACATTCATTTACGCTGTGGAATATTTGTTTAATGATGCAAAGATGTGTTGCATTCTTTTATGTCACATTTGTTTAACTCTGTGAAGCTGTGTTACTTTGCCTGTCTAAAACACCTGATTGATCTAATAAAGAGCTGAACAGCCAAGAGCAAGGCAGGAAAGAGAAATAGATGGGGCCAGCAGGCAGAGAGAATAAATAGGAGGAGAAATCTAGAAGAAGGAGAGAGAGGAGCAAGGAGTAAGAAAAGGAGGAGAGGGGGATGCCAGGAGCCAGCCACAGAGTAAGAAGGGAAAAAAGGTATATAGAATAAAGAAAAGGTAAAAAGCCCAGAGGCAAAATGTAGTTAAAGAGAAGTGGGATAATTTAAGTTAGAAAAGCTGGCTAGAAACAAGCCAAGCTAAGGCTGGACATTCTAAGTAAGAATAAGTCTCTATTTATTTGGGAACTGGGTGGCGGGGTCCCCAAAGGTGGGGGTGGGGAGATAACCAACTACACTGTAATGCAAACTTTCAGGTATTTAAAAAAAATCATTGTGTGAAAAAAATAGAATCAGTGACTGTGGGTGGCAGTCTGACCTGGTCAGAAGTATTTTACAAAGTCACTGCCAGGAAACACTAAACTGTGTGTAAAACAAGGAAGACACGGAAATGGTCACCCTAGCCTTCGGCACAGCCTGCAATATAGATGGCCTCCTGAGTAAAGGGACACTGTGATAGCACCTTAGTTGATAGGTTTTATTTATCCTTCCAAAAACACAGGTAGGGGCTTCATGTTCAAGGAGAGGGAAGTAGGGAACAATGGGTAGGAGAGTGCAGACTCCTCATAACAAATGAGTCCCTGAATACTCATGTCCAAGTCAAAAGCAAGGCTAAATGAATGGCAGGCAGAAGAATAAAAATAATTATCTACTATCAAATTTGGGGACTAGTCCAGAGGATGAGTTCATTGCATCTTCCTTCACTAGAGTGTTTCTCCCCTAAAAGGCACTATGTATTCATCAATAATTTAAATCATGCATATTAATTTGCATGCAGGCTTATATATGAGAACTTATATATATAGTCAACTTCAAAAGCAGTTGCCTAAGAAGAGGAAGGTAATGAATACAACACAGGTCCCTCAAGGACTCAGTATGCTTCTGATTTGTGCTATCACTACCAATGTGCACAAATGATCAAAGCCATATTGGCTATTATTTATCAGAAGGGTTATATACTTAACACGAGAACAGTTCAGAAAGAAGACCAAAAGCCCAGCCCAGCAAAAGTGTTCCACATTGGAATGGTTCCTATGGCCCTGTCCAAAACAAGGTTTTAGAGATGCTACCTTGAAAAGTCAGTCAATCAATAAAAGCAAAACAACAACAAAAAGGTAGCAGCACGGGGCCTGGCAGATGAATCAATCTACACGTTACAGAACTGACTCGAGCAAAGGAATCAGAGTTAATGAGTATCTGTCATATCTCATCAAACCGCTTCCCTAATAACAACACAGTGTAGTTATTCACACTGTTGTTGATTCCATAGCTCCTTCCTTGCTCTAATTACGGCTTCTTCCTGTGTTCTAGAAGAGGCTCCCACTACTGTGACTCACAGGCCTCCCGAAGCCTCCTTATACAAGTACGAACGTCTGTAATAAATTTATGCTATGTAGCAGGGCTGCCACGTTTGCCTTCATTCTCCCCTTCCAGAATAAAAGTCTCTGGCATGAGCTACCTGATATATCCTGATATACATGGGTGAAGGTAAGAGGCCATCTTTATGAAGCTGACTCCTTCTACATGTGGACCCCAAGATCCAACTCAAGCCCTCAGGCAAGTGTCCTTATCTGCTGAGGCACCTCAGGGGCCCCCAGCTGCCTTGGACAGAGCAGACTAGACCCTACTCTATCTACTGCCATTGTTATCTGCTATGCTCGCCCTGGTGGCTGAGCTCCTACCACAGACCCAGACCCTCATTCTCAGACTGAATAATACTTTGGCAAACAATCTTCAGAACAGTGGTCAAGATTACTTTTTTTGGCTTATATCATTATTAAGAAAAATTTAACATTCTGTTTTCATGTATTTTAAATTTGAGGTTTTTTCTTAATACAATTTTAATTACAAAGGCTATAGTTGCTGCATATTAGATTTAAAATATTATTTAAAACATATCATCTTTTAAATGTATCCAGTCAACTCTAAATAAGAACCACAGCAACCTGGAAACTACTTTAACCACCAAAAACAAGAGAAGAAACTCTTGTTATTTTATTTTACCAATAAAAAACAGTGCATTGGTCTCTTTTTCTCCTTGATCTCACATTTCCATTTTCCTCCCCCACAGAACTTTTTCTAAATATAATATGACTTAATGCTTGAAAGGTTTTTATGAATTTCCATATTATGCTTTTTGTAACAAAGTATACATAGAATGATGTTTTTAAAAATGTCCTGGGACTGTAGAGCTTAAAAGGGTTCGATTTCCTTTCAGTTTGAGCTATCATTACTAATGCACACAATTGATCCAAAGAACACTCACAATTATTTATAAGAATGTTAATATTGTTAACAGGGGGGAAGCAACTGTACTGGAAACACATTTGTGAAGAAATGGATAGGATTTGTTGATTCCTTCAATTAGCTCATTTATCTATAGGTGAGTACTACTCACTGTTTATGATAAAGCCTGGCTTAGCATCAATTCTACATCTGTGTTATTTTATAGATGTAAACAATAAGAAACCTCATCTTATTGTTGATGGAGCACACCTTTAATCCCAGCACTTGGGAGGTAGAGGCATGCGAATCTCTGTGAGTTCAAGACCAGCCTGGTCTACAGAGTGAGTTCCAGGACATCCTCCAAAAACAATACAGAGAAACCGGTCTTGAAAAAACAAACAAACAAACAAACAAAAACAAAAACAAACAAAAAAAACAAAAAAAAGAAAAGAAAAAGAAAGAAACCTCATCTATTTATGTTTACATGAAATGAAGAGGACTTATCAAAATATATTTTCATGTATCATCCTATAGGTCTTCAAGCTAACTGAAAATCGAGAAGTCAAGTTACCCAGGTTGTGCAAAGACATGTTTCCTGTACCCAAGGACTAGTATTGTCACAGTTCTTTGTGTTGGGATAACGGCTTCGCCTCCTAGGACAGCTCACGGGAGCAGACCCAGGATGGCAACAGCTTTGCCCTTTTCTTCTGACAGGCAGGAAAGTGACCATGAAAGGTGAGGGGGAATTGCTGGTGCGGCAGAGTCAGTGTTGAGCAAATCAGTTTCAAGAGAAGGTCCACACGGGCTGAGAAGCAGGAAAAGACCTAGCAAGCCTTTATCGTTCTTACAAGGCCTTTTGGGACAGCTCTCTGCTAGTCATGTGTGTTGCTGCCATTCTGTCCCTTTGCAGGCTTTATATGACTTTGATTAACATGGGAGTTCCTACAACTTGTAAGTCTGGATCAGATACATTGCTTTAAAGACAGTAGCATAATTCTTGCTCAGTCTACTTGAATGTAAATTCCTAATAGATCCCGTCCTGACAATGCAGAAAACACACTCAACAAATGATTGTACATTCAGTGTTTCTCATATCATTACAGGAAATCCCAGAAATAGTCAAATGCTTTAATAATAGAAAAATTGCTAAATAAATTATGTTACAGCTTTGAGACTAAACATGAAGTATTTTAATTTAAAGAAAACATTGGAATTAGGAAACGTTTCATATAATATGAAGTAGAAACAAGGATAAAACTAAGGTGTAAGAAGAGTGTCATATTTGTTTGTATATACTGTATGTTTGTGCAAAAGACTTAAGAAAATCTATTAAATGGGCTTTAGTCACTATCCCTGTGTGTATAATTGTGAACAATGCTCTTTTTAAAAATTCTTTTGGTCTTTTTCTACACAGAACATGAATTTCTCACAATGAGGAAGATAGAAGGACGATGTGCATGGGACGGTCAGGAAGGCACAGAAATAGGTTTGTGTCCTATAGCTGCTGTAGCTGACATCAGGAAGATGGTACCATGCCTGGGACAGGAGAGAACTTAAGCTCGCTCGGGCTGGGACCGACGGCATTTCCCAGAGAACGACCGCTGGAAGGCTTTGTTCCCTGTCCACTCTCATGTGTTAGCTTCGGTCATTTCTCTCCTTGCCCACGTTCATCCTTCTGCTCACTGATCTCCTGGGTACCACCAATTTCATCTGCCCCCTCCCTCCACACACAGATGGAAACGAAGCAGGTCCCCACGAAATATCCCACTTCGTGGACACCAAACAAACCAACAACACAAGATGAAAACTATTCAGCACACAAAATACTGTCAAGCAGTGGTTCTCAACCTTCCTAATGCTATGACCCTCGAATACATTTACTCATGCTGTGGTGACCCCAACCATAAAATCACTTTCATTCGTACTTCAAAACTGTAATTTTGCTACTTTTATGAATTGTAATGGAAATTATCTGTGTTGTACAATGGTCTAAGTGATCTATGCAAAAAGGTTGCTTGGCCCCAAGGAGTCACAACCTGTAGGTTGAAAACCACTGTTATAAACCAACAAGGTGATCTGGCCTTTAGGAAAACATGGAAGGCGATTTTTGTTCCTGCTTCTTTGCCGCTGCTGTCTCTTACCTCAGCAAGTGGGGAGGGATCTTCACAATGGTGTCCAGGCCACCTAGAGTTTCTGTAAAAGAAGATTGTGGAGTTACAAGTAAATATTCACACTGTGATTAATATCTAAATTCTAAATTCTCCACACTCACTGAACTCACTGATGGCTTGTGTTCCCCCTTGGAAAATAGGAACTAGCCACTTCTCAGTCATCTATATTTCAAAATCCTTTTCCCATGATGGACCTCTCTTTATTATTGGAAAATAAAAGACTAAAACCCAGGCCACATTTCCTCTTTAGATCACTTAGTTATTCATAGGGAATGAATAGCTAAATCCCTAACCTAAGCCAGATAACCAATTCAATGTACCTACCATTGACCAAGATGCTACATTCTCCCAATCATAAAACAAAAGCTGTTTGGTTGAAACATTTTAGTCTCTCAATAAATGAACTCGTATAGTAAAGACTTTCATGTTCACAAGGCACCTTCTGGGACATGTGATTTATTTAGCAGCTTTCCTATTATTGACACACTTATCCTCCTCTGGGTTTTCCTTCGATATTATGAGAAACATGGTGCTTACATTTGTTTGGAGAGTGTACTTCCTACATTATCAGGGCATAGTGACTTGTTGGGATTTCCATTCAAGTAGATTGAACAAGAATTACGTTTCCATCTCTAAAACAGACCCATGTCCTCTCCTTTCCTACCTGCTCTAGACTTGCTTGCTGTCAGGACGCCCGTGTTAGTCACACACATTTGTGACATGGTAGACCACAGCGCCTCTTTAGCCACATTACAGGTAAGGGCAGTGTCTAGGAGGTTCAGCCTTAGATCCCTTTAATGAAGCCCAATGCTCCATGCTTTGCCACTGTTTGCAGATAAACCATAGTACTTGCTGACTCTAATTGTACAGACAATAAAAAGCTAATTATTGTGCCCCGATCCAAAACTGTTCTACTTCAATTGCCCCAACTTGTCTCCAAGAGATCAGGTTTACCACTTAGAGTCAACAAGCTTTGTCAATTTGAACTACATCCCTTGGGAAAGGACAGACAGACAGTCCCTCCACCACGTTAAGAGATCAGAGAAAACAAGAAACCAAATACGTTCCTCAGACTCAGGACTAACAGGACCCAGCAGGACAGAACCAGGCCTGTTGTCGACAATGGAACAAAAACAGTGGATTTGATGAAGGTGACTCATCAGCAAAATCAGAAAGCAGAGCTGAGCAGGGTCAGTGGCGCCGTGGAGATGAGGACCAGCTGGGAGAGAGGAGGACTGAGGTCTGAGCGCAGGATGACAAGAAAATGAAGCCATGAGATGCAGGTCCTAGGGGCAGCTCAAAGGGCCACACAGGCTAGCAGAGCCCAGCAATTAGTGTGACAGGGAGCAGTGCTGAGGGCAAGTCAGTGTTGCTGGTTAAGAGGAGAAATGACACCAGAAGAACAAGATTCATGTGCTCTCCAGAGACAGGGGTGTGTCTCCAGCTTAAGGCTGAATGTCACCAGAAGAGAAAAGAGAACAGGGAAGCCCCTCTGTAGGAGAGGCTTACCCAGCATGGCAGACTCTGGGTTTGATCCCCAGCACCACCTTTAAATAAGGGTGGGGGAGGGAAAAGGCAGTCACTCCATTGCCAAGAGCCGAGAGCCCCACTCCATGTAAGCGGGACAAGGGTGGAATTCAAGTCAATTGTGCAAAGGACAGAGAATCCAAGGCCTGAAATGCACAGAACTGTCTGTTTCTGGTACTGTCCTGTAGTATAGGACAGAGTAGCTCTGCAGGGAGGAATACCATAGAAACACATAAGAGAGCAAACAGAACTGCCTTCCCTCTCTGATTCCACACTAGTTTACATGATAGAAGTCACCCAGCTCCATACCTCTGTCTGCTTATCTCTAGATTGTTTTCTTTTTTTTTTTTTTTCCTTTTTTGGTACTAGGCTTAAGTCCAGGTCCTTTATCTAAGCAAGGCAAGTGTCCTGCCACTGACATATATATATATGCAGGTTCCCCATCTGTAAAGGGAGGTGACTATTATCTGCTTCATAGCAGTCTTAGGACGAACTAATCATTAAAAGCCTGACATTGGCTTTAGACATCAGTGACAGCTCCTGTCTGCTTGACAGACTCACTGAATTTCAGGCCATGTAATAATGGTCTGGAGACCCAGTGGTGAGAGTGGAGATTGTTGGAGAATTTGGAGACCATACACTCCAGTTTCCAACTGTGGCAAATGCCAGGAAGGAAAATGTAGGGCATTAGTCAAAGGGTACAACAGGAGGCCCTGCTATGGACGGACATCAGGCTCTCTGTGGGAGGTGCTGAAGTACTAAGATGGATGGAACACGATTGCAAATTAGGTAAGGCTGAGGTGTTCCAAGAAGAGAGCATAATGAGTTCAAAAGACACCTGTAGTCCTAGATACTGCCTCCAAAGGCAGCAGGATTCTATAGGCTCAAGAGTTAGAAACCAGCCTGACAACATAGTGAGATCCTAGGTCAAAAACAAACATACCAGCAAATAGACTCAAGTTAAGGCCAGTGAGGTAGCTCAGCAACAGGAAAAAAAAAGGGGGGGACTTGCTGCTAACCCTGATGGTCTGAATTTGATTCCCAGGACCCTACTCAAAACAAATGAATAAAAATGCAATAAAAATTTTGAAAAAAAGAAAGGAAAACAGCCCCAACCGCTGTCAGTCACTGCTTCCTGAGACCACAGCCTTGGTGTCACCTTCTCTCACTTGGTGACTGCCCAGCCTTTTCCTGGTCCCTGACTCTGGCCCAGACCCTATCCTGTGTTCTCAACATGGCAGCTGAAGAAACACAACCCAGCCAGGGTCTTTTTTCTTTTCTCCAGATGGCTCTTCACCTCATTTTAAATAAAAGCTAACCCTCAGTGTGTCCAACGAAGACCTCCATCCTCCATGAGCTCTCTCCTATTGCCAACCCCCACCCATTGGCTTCCTGGGATCCCCTCCCCCAGCCTCTCCCCCTCAACTTCCCTTTCAAGACAATGTCCCTTAGACATTCAATTGAGATGACAACTCCATTTTCCCTCTAAGGGCCTCCTATCTCAGTTACTACTTTATGTTTTCCAGTAGGTTTTGTCACTGAGTTGGCACCCATGTTTCTACTCATCTTGATCACTGACTGTCATCGCTCCAACAATGGCACACTGTAGGTTCTCACTACGTACTTGCTGAGTGAGTGAAGTACCCGAGAGGTGTGTCAGTCACTGGAAAAAGTTCAGGATGGCTGAAGTTCAGAGTGTCAGAGAACGTGAGGGACCAGGAATGCAAGAATGGATGGTTTAACTCGTGTTAACACAATGTAGCCCAAGAAACCATAGCGTCACAGGAAGTGGCTACGGCAGCAGAGCAAAGCTGGCACCCAGCGGCTGCATCTGGCGTCTCTGGTGGAGGTCAAGTTCAAGTGGAATGGGGCAGAATGTGGAGGCAAAGGCGTGGGCACAGTTCCTATAGGCATTCTCAGCCTGACCTGATGGTGGGAAGCTACCTGCAGGAGAAGCTTTGCTGGAAGGGAAAGAGGAGGAGGGATGGAGTGAGGCAGACAGCCTTTGCCTAGTTGGGGTTCCCACCTCTACTTTCATTTCCATCTCCCTTCATATCTCCCAAATACATTTCCTCACAAGTCCCCTGTTATATGTAACATAGTAATTGTAAAATGGGGAGGGACATGGCGGTATAATTCCCAGCTACTTCCATTTTCTGTGTCTGTCACAGCCTTGGGAGTTGTCAGTTCTGAAGGAAAACCCTCTTTTTGTAGGCTCCCCTGAGCTCATCCCAACCTATTCATGTTTTTCTACTCTGAGCATTATCACTGGCAAACAAGAGTCTGGGTGGCATAGAACAAGGGAGAAATGCAGACTTAGCCCTTGCTACTTATTCTGCAACTATGAAGAACACTAATGTTTAGTGATATTATGGCAAACAAGAAAATGATCAAGTTTTCAAAAAAATATATTAAAGGAGCTGGTGAGATGACTCAATAAATGTACTTACTATTAAGCCTGACAATGTGAGTTCAAGTCCCAGAACCCACATTGTAGAAGGTCTGACCTCTACACGCATGTTTTTGCATCCAAACCCATATAAATAAATGTTAAAAAGCTAACTGCATTAATGACAATTCTTGTGTTTGAAAATAAATGTGCGGTGTGATCCCTTTGCACAAGGGGTAACTTTTGTATGTAATGTAGTGTTACCACTGGGTGGTGAGATAAGAAATCGCTTTCACTTTTTTCTTCATACTGTTCTAATGTTTTCCAATATTCTAACATGTGACTCTTATGAGTTAAGGATGAGTAATGTTTGAAACCATGGGGGTTAGTAAGAGTTTATTTGTGTATCTAAGACTGTGTCCTCAAGCTGTAGGTAGATGCAGAAACCACTAAAGTTCTAAACATGCTGTGTTTGTGCTCACAGAGGCTGCCCTGCTGCCCTTTATTGACATGGTTGGCCAGTATCCACTCCTCTGCTCTCCCAGCAGTCCTCTTAATGCTGCTCTGAGGAAACCAGCTTTCCTTAACCCTGGGATTCAATGTCTCCATAGTGCAGGCCTAATCTCGTTATCCCAGTGTCTTTCTTGGGTAAAACATTAGGTTAAGGCGTAATCACATGACTCATCAGGACACAGAGAGAATCCTCGAAACCAAGGACCACACAGGCGTGACTGAAAGAGTCATAGGGTCTAAATGCGGTGACGACCTGTCCCTTCAAAGTTGGTATAGGAAGGAATCGTGAGATGGCGAGAATGATAATGTGCCTCTTTTCTCCTTAGCACAGTGGCTCTCAACCTTCCTGATACTGTGACCCTTTAATACAGTTCTCGTGTGGTGACCCGAACAGAAAATTATTTTTGTTGCGACTTCCTAACTATAATGTTGCTACTGTTACAAACTGTAATGTAAATATCTGGTTTTTCTGCTGGTCCACAGAGGTCACAATCCACACTCCATATATTGAGAGCCACCTCCTTAGATGCTCTAGGCGCTGCTATTGATGAACGTGGTGGGGGTGGGGATGGGGAGGGTGTCTCAGAAATAAAGAGTAGAGACTCCTAACTAGTGTTGCCAGATTCTTGTCGCCATCAGAGGAAGAATTTAGAGATGACACAAGGTAATCAATTGCAGAGAAGAGTTTGGCAGACCCAGAGTGGAGGCATCTGAGTTACACTCCATTTTTTAGGTAGCTGAACTTACGGGTGAACATTAATGAAGGAGGGTTGTTCACAAAGGAGGGGGAGAGGGTCTGACGGGCTTTTCTTCCCGCTTCTGTCCTTATCTGGAGTTTCGAGGCTGAAGCAGACAGTTCTGCCAGATTAATGATGTGGCGACGCCATCACAGTGAAGTCAAACACAGTTAGCAAAAGTCTGGGTTAGCCATGGTGTCCCAGCTGGCTTTCTGCTGTTTGAGCAGTCACATAATGTCCTGTCCTGCTGTCACATAGCCCTCTGATTGCATCAGCTTCTAGAAAGTGTGCCTCACTGCCCCCCCAGCCCTACCTGGCTTACCTTATTAGTATAGAGATGACCTTTCTCTCTTGAGATGACTGCTGTCCCATTGCAGTCGAAAGAGAGGTGAGTGTGTGTCTGCTGCTATGATAAACACCGTGAGCAAAAGCCACTTGGAGAAGGAAGGGTTGATTTCAGCTTACAGTGAAGGCTGGAGACCTTCACTGATGGAAGTCGGAGCAAGAGCTTGCAGCCGACACCTCAAAGGAAGGCTGCTTTAGGGTTGGTGAGTCTTCATATTCAGCCACCTTTCTTATATCGCTCATGCTCCACCTGCCTAGGGATGGTACCGCTCACAGTGGGTCTGGACCTTCCTATACCAATCAGCAATTAAGAAAATGCCTCATGACCACAGTCAGAGGCCAGCCTGATCAAGGCAATTCTTTGGTTGAGGCCCTTTCTTCCCAGGTGACTCTAGGTTTATGTCAAAGCCACAACTGAAACTAAGTCCAACATCATGCTCCCCCCCCCAAAAAAAAGTCTGAGTAGAGATTACCTGCCTTTCCTAAGAGAACCTAAGGAAGGGATGACGATGATGCCAGTCACTCTCCCAAGATGGTCTAAGTTTATGGACACCCAAAGTCCATGTAGAAGACATCAACCAATTCACAAAGATAAAGACAAGGTCCTTAAAACTCTATAATGTCACATCAACCAGCTCACACAGTTATTCTTTTAAGGGACATTCAGCAGATGGAGCAAGTAAATTGCCTGGCACTGGTCAGCTGTAATTCTCTCGCCTTTGCACTCAACGTATTTCCCAGTTATCATTCCTTAGCTCTACACATGGCAACTCCAAAGCAGTAAGTGCTCTAAGAGTCTGGAGGGCAGGGCTCTGAGCCAGCAGTGCAAATGATTCTACTGAGGCTGGCAAGGCCTTGGAGGAGCTGGAAAAGGAATCTCTGACAGAAGGGGTATTAGGCAAAGAAAATAACTGCTATATATGATGTCATCAGGAAAGCGCCTCAGCAAACTGCCACCAGGCCCCAGAACTCTTGGTGGGGCAACAAAACAGGGAAATGGTCTAGATTCTTAAGTACATTCTTAGAAATTTGCATGTATGTTAGTCTACTAAAATTATGAGAGCTGAGCAGTAACAAACGTCTTCTAGTAAAAACCTAGACAACAACAACAACAAAAAACCTACCTTCTATGCCTTTATTTATACTGCATATCCTGCGCCCCTTCAACAAAGTCCTTCGGGTTTAAGGAACCCTTCGCTTCAGGGGAGGTCTGAAATATTTGCTCAGAAAATAGCAGGAAACAAAAGCAAAGAACTCACAGCTTACCTGTTCTTCAAATGAAATCTACTCTGCCCCCCTCTCCTCTCCCCATATTCAGACCCTATCCATGGGCCTGTTTTCTAGCTCTGGTTATTCCCATGTACAAAGGAATGCTCCATGCTATTATTTAACTGTCACAACCTTATCTCTTCTCTTTCTAATTATAGAATAATCAGTGCACAACAAAAGGGACCACATCTAGTCAAGGTGCATGCAGACCTTGACCCAGAAAATCTACCTGTCCTCAGCTCTGGGCTTGCCTCATATCCACAAGGGCTAAATTCACCAACACTGTGGTTTAAAATCAAACACCCAGCTTATTAAAAACACTGAATTACTCTCCACCTCCGTGTTTATCTCAATCAGTTTCCTTTACAGCAAACTAATAATGAATACCAGGGATGGCATGTCTCATGCACACTCAGGCCCTGCTTTATTATGTTACTCTCCACCTCCGTGTTTATCTCAATCAGTTTCCTTTACAGCAAACTAATAATGAATACCAGGAATGGCATGTCTCATGCACACTCAGGCCCTGCTTTATTATGTTACCCAGCCATCTGTGACCCTTCATTAGAGAGGCAATTGGGAATCCAGTTTGGAATCACTGCTGAACGACAATGGCCACGTTGAAACAGTACTGTGCCTTTAAGAGCCTTGCCTGGATCCAGTCCATTTTCATTTAACAGTAAACTAAAATGGCCAAGCATTAGTTCTACCTACAAGATAAACTGTGGGCAATGATTGAGACAATTTAGTTAATATGCAGAGATTAAACAAAGGATGGTGTTGCTGCTGTCATTGTCTACACACACACACACTCACTCACTCACACACACACACACACACACACACACACACACACACACTCACCACATAGGCAAACATATGTGAATTAAGACCTTCCATCAGAATAGCATAACCTGAAACGCTATCTGAATTCGGCCTTTGGAGGAACACCAGCTAATGGCACTTCTGTGTGTCTCTTTTTCAGGTTGCACACAGCACAGAATTGTGACAAACACCGACTGGATTTTATTTCAAGGGAAGGGGTTCTTTTTTTTTTTTTTTTGATTGGTTACCAAGGTGTCACCAGTAAGGGGCTCACAGAGCTGCCCTGGTTCCTTTCAAGCCTTTCCTTTTTTTAAAGCATCTAGGTTACCCCAAGTATGCTCTGGCTCTCTGGTGCAGTTCCATACCCACCATTCTCGTTGCCTCGGTCTTGCCTAATTGATATGTCATTCCGTTTATTTTCTGCTGTTGAGGTCTGCAGCCTACATGATGGGAAATGCTCATTTGCTACCGGGAACTTCAATTTTAGCACAGCTCAACAACTAAAAGCCCACCTGTCTGAGGGCCAGGTCAATAACAAAACTGTAGGAGTAACACAATACCTCCAGACTGCTACTCCAGGCTGTTATTTTTCCATGCACAATAGCCATAAAATCGAATGCTTAGCAAGGTGCCTCTGTCAGGAAAATCAAATTAAACAAGCCTTCCTTCCTGGTTCCACTCACTCATGTTTGAAAAGACGTTGTTGCTTTAATTAACTTCCCTATTCCTTCCAGACACCTGGGAACCAGGGCCCTGATTTCACACAAGCTGGAGATCTTAACTTGGCTATAGGGAACCCGTGTCCATGGACGCTGGGGACCAGGAATGGAGACACCTCATACCAAAAGCAACGGTTCCCTTTTGGGGTTTGGGAGGACTTAAGGAGACCAGAACGGAGACAGCTGGATGCCCACACCGAGCCAAGATTTTCATATCCTGCATCAGTTTTCGGAGGCAATTGAGCGACAGGCATCCATGACCCATGCTCGGTGACAGTCCCTCCCGCCCAGCCCAGGGGCTGCGTGGAGCCGGTGGTGATTCAGGAGCAGGTGTCCCCGCGCGTGCTATCCCTGCTTACCCAAGGCCCAGGTGCAGCTCTCCTTGATGGCTTTGTATTTGCTCCCGGATGCGTCCCTCTGCAGCTTCCTCAGGATCTCTTCCATCTTGGCCTTCCAAGAACCGGGCCACCGACCAGGAGAGTGCGCGGAGGAGCGCCTAGGCGGCTGCTGAGCTCGTCCCCATCGCGCTCCGCGGCCACTGATGAATCACGCCCGTTCCACGCCGCGGGCCACGTCAGCCCCGCCGCCACGCCCGTTGCCACGCCCGCCGGGTCAGGTGCGCTCCCCGGCCCAGGGACGCTGGAGGCTGGGACCTCCTATTTCGTTCCCAGGCAAACCTGGGGGACTCGGCTTCGTCCAAAGGTGGGGGTCGGTCAGCGGCTGGCACTGCCCCTCCACCCCCGCGGAGCCTCTGATCCAAAGAGATTGAGAGCAATGGACAGAGGGCAGGGAGGGGCCTGGCTGCTCGTGCCCACCTGCTGGCTACCCTGCATCCCTTCATCCGGAGAACCACTACACCCAGGTGCCCTGAAAGCAAAACAGTCATGCATTCACTAAATAGTAAACAGCTGGTCCCCGCCCCCCCGCCCCTCCCCCGTGCCAGGCTGAGGCCATCCAGTGGGGACTTAGCCATATGTCTGCCTGCAGGGAGCTTACATGACAATGTATTAGGCTCATGCATTACACTCTAATACAAGTTTCTAATAATTAGAGAATTGAATGTGAGAATTAAATCATAGACAGTTGAGAAGAGGATTAAAATGAATATACCTTTATTAGTACATTAAGATTTCTACCAAACCAGCTAAGGCAGAGATTGAAAACAAAAATCAATAGATTTAATTGACAACTTAAAACCTTTCAACAGCTCAGCAGTCAATCTGCAGGACTGCCCTGTATGTTAGAAATTAATGGCCCCATATATAAGCGAGGAAACCAGGCCTCAGCTACTTCCCAGCCAACAAGAATCGTATTCCACACACCCAGAATCCAAATATATTAAAAAACAAAAACAAAATCCTTCACTACCAACAGGTGAATATAGGAAAAATTAGAAGTTCAAGATCACCCTCAGCTATAAAGCCAGTCTGAGACCAGCTTGAGGTGCATGAGCCTGTTAAAAATAAATAATAAGTAAGTAAAAATAAAATAAGGATCTCTCGTACTGGCCGAGTTGTTTCCCTCTGAGGAAAGGGCACACTGGTACAGTGGCACAGAGGCAGGGAAAGCCTGCTGCCCCGGGGAGCCATTGGAGCCAAACTAAAGGCTCAGTGAGCCAGAGGCTCTGCTATTTGAGTGATTTCAGGTGTTTCTCTGGTGGTGGGCGGCCCCTCTACTGGCTGCTGGAGAAAAGAGGCCTGCAGGAAAGCAATGACATTGTCCTGAGAGCTCTGTTTGGAAGGGAGGAAGAGGTTAGAAGGGAGTTCAGTTTTTATTAGAAATAGGGATGCCCATCTGCAGAAAGGGTCGTGGCTGGGGGAATGTGAGCAGGATTCCCAGCAATCTAGAATGAATTGAGCTTTGGGTAGGTGGGAAGGCAGATGCTTGGGGAGACAATATAGAAGGATTTGATGGCTGAATAGAGAAGGAACAGCAGCCTGAGGGATGGCATCCAGATTTCTTTAGGGAACGAGAAGGCAATAGCCCCATTTTGTAAGGTAAAGATGGTAGTGGAAGAGAGGGAATACAGAAGCTCAGACTTAACATGGTCTGATTGGAAGAAATAGTAACATGTCTACGGGATATTTTATCTGTGGGCAGGAACTCCGGCTAGAATTCTGGAATGGAAGGGAGGAGGATTTAAATCCCTTCAGTATGGCGAGTGGGTTGTTATCAGAGGCCAGAGAGGGAGCTGCAGGAGGAGGACAAGGATGAATGTGAGCTGTCAGAAATCCCAGGAGGGAAAGGCAGCCAGGAAGGAAGAGTCATAGGAAGGACTGCTGACTGCCCCTTGGTTCCTTCAAAGCGCCAGTTCCCAAGGGCCTCTCTGCTTGCCACCAACACACCCGAAGGAGCCATCTTTTGAAGAAAGGTTTCTAAGTGCTAAAAAGCAAACGGCAACAAAACCTCATATTCAACCATACTATGAACTACTTGGAATAATGCAGACATCAGAACTATAACATGCATCAAGATAGATTACCAGTATTTTTTAAGAAGTTGGATATAAGAGTTGAATCATAAAAGGTTTAGAAGAAAAGTTAAAAGAATACACGTCCTAATACACAAAAATCGCTACAAAACCAGTTATGGCAGAGATGAGAAAAATTCAATAAGTTTCATGATTTGATGATTTAAAACCTTTAAGTCAAAAGTTCCATTCACAAATTATTATGTAGATGTAGGGGCTTGAATGAGAAATGTCCTCTATGGGCACCTGTATTTGATCACTTGGTCCCAGTTGGTAGTACCTTCTGGGAAAGTTATGGCCAAGAGTATTTCAAAATGCTATTGTGAGTGGGAAACTGGAAGCAGGGTCTCCCCGAGTACTGGGGATGCTGGCTGACATAGAGTGGCGCTGGTTTGCTCAAGGGAATAAGGATGTGTGCAACACGTATGGTTCCAGACCAACAGTCCTCATTCTGGGAATTCATCCAAAGGATGTGACGATGAAAATGAATATAAACATTTTCTGACAAAGATTTCCATGCATCTTTGAATTGTAAATTAATTTAAAACTATACACCTGTCCAACAACAGTGAGATGGAGGCATAATTCACATTGTACCCATCAGACAGCGTACTCCATAATTTTGGAGATTAATGTGAGAGAGGAATATTGGATGGCAAGATGACAGGCTTCCAGTTCATAAAGTAAAATAAGTTAACTGTGAAATACTATGCAATTGCATATATTACTTGACTTCAATATTTACACTTTAATATTTAATAGAGAATCCATATAAATCTCTATCTATCTATATATATATATATTAAACAGTGATAATCTTCAGCGTGGCTTATAGGCAAGTTTACTATTCCTTGAACATATTTGCTTTTATAAATGAAAAAGGGTGCTTTTAAAAGGTAGTACAAAACTGTCGTAACAGCAAAACAATAATATAAATAGCCACAGAGGACAAATATAACATAGGTGGAGATTAAATAGTTAGGATTACAGAGAAGTCTGTCCCGGGAACATGGGGTGGGCAGTGTCTGCCCTGGTGACTTAAGAACAGGCAGAATTATGTGTATAAACAACCCACTCACAGTTGTGACTGCGAAGGAAAACACATATTTTTATCTTTGATCCACAATTCACAGTATAAACCTTATTTTTTGTTGCTATGCATTATACACAGATATACATGTAAAAACTGGTTAAAATTACAGGGAAGCCGGGCGTTGGTGGCGCACGCCTTTAATCCCAGCACTCGGGAGGCAGAGGCAGGCGGATCTCTGTGAGTTCGAGGCCAGGCTAGACCGACAGCCTCCAAAACAGAGAAACCCTGTCTCGTAAAAAATAAAATAAAATAAAATAAAATAAAATTATAGGGAAAAAAGGAGTTTGATTTTGGTTTTGTTTGAGTCAGGATATAGCTTTGGCTAGTCTTGAACTCATGATCTCTTGACTGAGTTTCCAAAGTGTTGAAATTACAGGTATTATCACACCCAGGTAAAGTCTTATTTATGAGCAATGTTATTAACTTTTAACTGTGGTAGAGTTCTATTAAATATGATTTTATTCATTGCAGTTGGCACATGGGGCTGTCCCTGAATTCCTTCCAGGCTGGGAGCATAAAGACACTATTGCATGAACAACCATGGTGGTTCATCTTTAAACTCTTTGTCCAATTTTTTAAAGCTTTACATCTCTACAGTTGTAGTTCATACAAATAATGCTATCAAGAGCATCTGCTAAAGCTTAAACTATTACAATAGAAATTCTTCTTTCAATCTTAATCCAAACTCGGGCATTCATCTATTGTAAACAGATTGGTGACTTCCCTAATTGCCATCAGAGATGCTCTCTCTGGCAATAAATGGAAGCAGAGGCAGAGATCCACAGACAAGCACTGCACTGAGCTGAGAGAGTCTTGATGAAGGGAGAAGGGATTGTACCAACCAGAGGGGTCATGATGGGGCAATCCACAGAGACAGCTTTTGGGAGCTCATGGACTCTTGCCCAACAGTCAGGGAGTCTGCATGGGGCTAACCTAGACCCTCTATATGTGTGTGACAACTGTGTAGCTCGGACTCTTAGAAAGCCTTCTAACAATGAAAGCAGGACCTCTCCCTAGCGCTTAGTTGACTTTTGATAACCTGTTCCCCATGCTGGACTACCTGGCTCCACCCCCATATAAGGGGAGGAGCTTGGTCCTGCCTCAACTTGATGTACCAGGTTTTGTGCAAGCCCATGGGAGACCTGTCCCTTTCTGATGGAGATGGAGAAGGAATGGATGGGGAGGAGGCTAGATGGGAAAGGGGAGGAGACAGAAGGAGAAGAGGGAAAGGAAACTGGTTGGTATGTAAAATAAATGAAAAAAGTTATTTAAATAAAAAAAAACCTGGGCATGGAAATACTTATGTGTTATCCCAGCATTTGGAAGGCAGAGGCAGGAGAATCACAAGTTCAAAACCAACCTGGGCTGCATAGTGAGATCTTGTCTCAGAAGAACAAAAACAAAAACAAAATCTTCATATGTTTGCAAATGATTAAAATTTGAAATTGGAACTTATAATTAATATCTCCTTTCATTCACTCAAAAAATTTTAATTAATATTGTTCTCTTCAAATGATTGAAAATGTTGAGGATATATAGTAACAGTGGTGATTATTTAAGTCATTTTCTAACAGTTTTGTATATCTAGTATCTTGAAATATGTGTCACTCTTTTCCTGTTAATTAAAAATGCCAACATTTTTTAAAACTCAGAATGAGTTCCAAATGCCAAGCTTTTAGTGAAATACCACTTAGAAAATATGAGCCAAAAAAGATTGCTTCTCAAAACGCAAAAGTATGGATCCCATTCCTGAGTGCATATAGCTTAATATATACTTTCCTTGAAGCGACCAATCCCTTCACTTTCTATATTGCATTCCTGTGTTAATTACATGGAAATGCTTAGATGTTTTAACAGATACGAAACCACAGAGGTTTGTATTTCTTTCTTGGTCAAATTGCATCCCTGGCCAATGATGCAGGTTAAAGCGACAGTTGGTCATCTAGGATCATGGACTTTACATGTGCTGATCCACCATCCCATAAGAAGT